CTGTCACGGTTGGACGCAGGAGGCGTCCTCTTGCCGTTCTGAGCTCCCTGCAAGACGGTGTAGACCTCGATGTCTGGGTCCTTGGCTCCGACAGTCCGTATGATAGGCAGAACCTCTTCTCAGGTAGGTTGGCCTGACGGTTGGAGGACATAGGAGAGCTCTGCCTGCAGACTTGATGGGGTTGACGCTGAGGCTCTATCACGGACGCAGCTGGTCATTCAGCTCTCGAGCAGCTCAGCCTCACTTGATGGGACCATACTCCTTCGCCTTGCATGGCACCCTCCAATGCCTCTCACCACCTGATCGCACCTCCCTTCCACTTCCCTCCCACCCTCCCTCCTCCTCCTCCCTCTCTCCCCTCCCTCTTTTCCTCTCCCTCTCCCTCTCCCTCTCTTCCTCGCCCTCACGATCCAACCTCCTCCCTCTCCCTCTCTTCCCTGCCTCCTTCTCTTACTGTCCCCTGTTTTCTCCTCCTCTCACTGTCCTCTATCCTCTCCTCCTCTGCATGCTCCTGCCCTCCCCGCCTGACTCAACCCGCTCGCTCCCTAGCTAGCATATCCATTCACTGCCCCGAATTCCCGAATATTCTGATCTAATGAAGTTTCTATTTCTGAAATGCTGCCCTTCATAAATGCGTCTGCTCGCACAGATTCAGATTCTGTTTCCCCTCTTTCAGCACTGTTCCCGCCATTCCCGCCCTCCCGCCCAGATTCCCGCCATTCCAGCGCCATTCCCGCCATGGAAGGAGGGAGTGTACAGGACGACCTATGCGGTGAAGGGCGACCTCAAGACAACCAATTCGACCAATTCGATTACTTATCATATTTATCGTCATCAGCATCCGAGTCAGGTGACGAAGAACTGAGTCCAGAAGAGAGGCGATGTCCCATACGCAAGTTACAAAAATTAATTCGCTTCGTCGACGATCCATTGGGTGAGTTGACCGGCAGTTTATCCCGTCCTACCTTGCCTAAACGCCAGGTGTCTCTGCCGCGACGGAAACGGCAAAGTGAGTCCGGTAGACTTGACGGGTTCTCTTGGCAGCCTCTTGGAAACGGCCCTAAAAGCCGCAGGACAACAGGAGGACGAGGAGGAGCAGAAGGAGCAGCAGGAGCAGCAGGAGGGGCAGAAGGAGAAGGAGCAGCAGCAGGAGCAGCAGCAGGAGGAGGGGCAAGGGCAGGGGCAGGAGTCCAACCGAGAAATGGCGAGCAAGAGAATTCAAAGGATGGCGAAAGGGAAGTCGAGCGATAGGGGGCGTGGAGATGTGTGAATCATCTTGCCTTTACCGATTTGAATCATATTAAATCATTCGATGATTCATTTGTGAGCTATCTTGTCATTGCAATTATGAATTGATTTGTTGTACTCTAGGATTCGATCGGAACGAACAGGTCAGAACAGATCAGATCTAGTGACTACAAAATCAACCTCATTTTGATCAGTGAGTTGTAACATAGAATCCATCTCTGGCTCCTATTTCAAGATGTCGTTGTTGATGAGGATCATGACGTCCAGCCGTGCTCACGAATAACTTTGTAACTGTTCCTCCTGCTCTGTATGCTGTTCCTCCTGCTCCTGCTCCTGCTCCAACCTCTATTTCTGGACTTACTCCTGAAATATGCGCCTGCTCCTCCTGCTCCTCCTGCTCCTCCTGCTCCTCCTGCTCCTCCTGCTCCTCCTGCTCGTTGGTCCCTCCCTCTCCCTCTCTCTCTCCCTCCCTCCCCCTCCCTCCCTCCCTCC